AAACAGCATGAGCTAGGAGCTAGTTGTCTGAGCCTCTTGATTGGTTAAGAAGAACATGTCTCCCTGAAAAGGCACACAAGCAGAGACTGTGTTGGCCAAAACCCAAGACTGGAAATGCTGGCAAACCAAAGGAGGTGCTACTCCTGTATTTCAACACTTCTGCATACACACGGCACAAGTTTTGCATGCTTCTGCGAGACTGGAAGGCAATTTCAAACGAAATCTGAAAGCTCACTTCCCCTCTCCACTACACTCCCAATTAAAAAAAAAAAAAAAATCAAATACCATGGCAAGATCTGGATGAGCTTTCTTTCATCACTGAAGCTTTCGTGCTGCCACAGATATTTGTACATCCCTCAGTCGTTTTGCACGGATGCATAGCCAGCAGAGGGCACACAACACAAATTTATGCAACAGTGAAATTCAGTTTCTAACACTTCCTCGGGTATCTAATTGAGGTAAGGAACACTGTTTAAAGAACCTAGAAACTATGACATCATTAATATTTATAGCCTATCTTAAAATCTGCTGTAGAGCAGGGAGACTGGAAATCCCAATAAGTTCTTTTACTAAGTACAACAGGTTTCCACCTCAATAGCCCTGCCAACTCACATGGTCCCTAAACTCAGCTCATCTCTAACAAACGTGGCTGTGAACATGTGTTTTAGGCAATATCCATCTGCCAGTGAAATGTTTAGCCATGAATTTAAATGTCCTCTCACATATAAGACAAAGTGCAGCCTCAGTGATTTCATAAATAAGGCTAGCATTACATACTCATATCAATGAAATAGTGAAGTAGCATCTTATTTCATCTCAAATATTGCTTTAAGGCTCTTTTTAACATACTTGCATGTGTACATTTCCAAATCCTCCCTCCAGCATTCCTTTGTGAGAAAAAAAATTGTCTTTTTCCAAGGCACATTAGACTACAGAGGAGAGAAGCAAAAACCTGCCAACAAAACTTACTTCCTGAATACTGTTTCATCATTGGAGGAGATACATTCAGCAAATTCAGTAGTGGAAATGAGTGCAAAGTAGTTCATAATCTGAACAGCATCTACTGAAATGCGCAGGCACAGAAGAATACAGCAAATTCTATTCCAGAAAATCCAACTATCATCTAAAGGTAGTTCATGTACAAAGTTTGAATAAGCCCTTGAGTTGCTTGATTACATCAAAATCAAACCAGGGGAGAAATGTACAAAGGGAGCTTTCCACTTCCGTGCTCAAAGATGCATGTAATCACAGCACATCTAATGAACACACTTAAAACAGAAGCAAGGAACGCTTCTTCTGTGAGTATACAGAGTGCCTAACACGATTATGATTTGTAGAGCAGCATCTAATACTGTACAATTCACCACTGGCACCCAACTTTGCAATTATGCCTGTATCTATTACTAATTATCAGGGCAAAATAACTGTGCTATTTCCAACACAAAGAAAGCACTTGAATATCGAGAAACATGCAAAGGCAAGACCATTCTCCTTCATTTTAAAAACACTACACTGGTTCAAACTGTCAAAGCTACCATTTAGCACATCTGTGTGCCAAAAGGAGGCTGTCTCTGTGCTTTTTGCACATAGCATGAACTGTTCCCTTCACCTCCACTGAAGAAAGAAAAGACAGGTAGCTAGCTGAAAGCCTGGTAACTTTAACCCAAATCATACATTTACAGAACCATCAAAACATACAGTGCATGATGTGAACCTATGTGACTATTCATCCATATTCATTTTCAGGACACATATAAGTGAAGTTGGTACGAGATTATTCTATAAACTCCTAGGAAAAATTACTCCAAAACCTGAAAACCACAGGTAATTATTAGTTCATCTAGCCCAGGTGACTGCGATCAACCTCAGGACTTCTTGTACAGTATGATCCAGGCAGCTGTAGAGAAAACAAAGAAAACCCAAGGTCTGTGTGACTTCTGACCGCTGTGACAACAGTAACATAAATGTCCTCTCAAAGAGGGGTTAACAATCCGTCAAACAGCACATTTCTATATGTGGGAGGAAGACGACCTTCCTCTTTCAAGTCACCAGTGACCAGTAAAGAGCAGTACAGCATTTCAAACGCACCACTGTTTATTGAACATATGTTCTGCCTCCCATGAGATACCAGTTCAAATAGCATCAAAAAAACCTTCTGCATCTTAATCTGACCCTGCTGACAGGTATTACAGTTGCATCCAATCCCTCAGCCGGAACAGCACCGAGAAGATGGAGTTAAGTCTAGCCCGGTTTAACAGTAAATTACTTTTTTACTGTTGTTACTGTTAGATTTGAATAGCAGCTAAACCTGGGTATTTTTTACTTGTATGCTCTGCAGACTTTTAAACACACAACGAGAAATTCTTTCCTCTGCATACAAACCTCACATAACTCGTTTTTTTTGGGCAGCAGAACCTCAGGCATTACACTTTCACACCAAGAATCTCACAAACATGAATCTGGTTGCCTCAGGCCCTTCCCTATGCCTCAGTTTTCAAGAAACTAAGTGTAATCGTGGCAACTAAGCATACACAGATACAGACAGATACACAACCTATAGGTTCATATTCTACAGATGACAGCATAGATCAAATCATTGCAGAGATAAAAATGTTATTATCCCAGTATGGTAATTATACTGATGACTGGTAATCCCTAACTAAGGAAATGCCAACTGCTGGGCATTTTTAGAGGTAAAAATAAATGGATGCTCGCTATCTCCCAATTAATTGTAGTTTCTTGGTGCTTAGATCCACCTCACAATTTTCTCGGAGCTTTATGCTGACTGCAATGCTTCAAAGGCAACTTTAAGTCTTTTTAATACTTTACTCAAAATGTCACTGTAAGAGTTGAAAAAACTCCAAAATAAAAGGAGTCAAAGCAGTAGCAAATTGTCATCCCAGTAATTTAAAACCCATAAAAAACCTGCTTAAGGTGCTATGTGTTGAGCTCTGAAGCACTGACTTTGCAAAACCACGTGAATTCCTATAGCCACTGCAAGGAAAAGATGAGCCTAGGTCCTACTAACTCCATTTTCTTAGACCAATACTGCTATTTGAATGATCACTTTATAGCTTAAGCTCCCTGTTTTTACTGTTAAACTCTGCTCCCCAGAAGAACACTGAGGACTAAACAAATGCTAAGGCATGAAATTCAGTTGGGTGAGCCCAAGGACACGCTTCTCTTCTACCCAAAGTCTCAAATACCTTTTTCCTGACAACACCAATTCCAACTGTCTCTATGTACGAGGAAAAAAAAAAGGCAAGAAACAAGAAAATCTGTCTTCTAAAGTAGTGTAAGCTGAGAACTGAAATACTGACATATTTTGATCAAAATTATAGTTACTGGAATTTTCACTAAAAGGGTGCAGTTAAGATTGTCTGAAGATGTTTTGTGTCGAGGTTTGTATTTCCAGCATACTTGGATTTCTTTTTAGTTTTACTACACCTTGAAACAATTGTCTTTGTAAAATACTGAGACATTTAACAAAATATTTCTGTCTCCAGTCATTGGTATGTATTCACTAACTCCATCCAGTTCACCGCATTCAGCAAAAAAATCCACACTTTGCCAAGCAAACCATTTTAAGGTTATGTTTCTAGGAAGGTTGCTTGTTAGCACAAGAAAAGTAAATTTTTGATGTGCCGCTGGATGTTATAATCACTGTTAGTACACACAAATAAGTACAGGTAACAAGAGATTGCATTTGCTGCTTTAGTAGGGCAACAGGCAAGTGTTTACCACATAGTAGTTTAGAACTGATCTTCACCCCACTGTCATTCAGCTTATATAACACTTTAATACATGCTTTTTATTGTAATATAATTAAAGATGTTTTTCTCCAGAACCTCTGGCACTGAACCCAGGTCCCACTGAATGAAGCAACTACGTAGAAAGCAGAGCTTTTCTTTCTGCATGTTACGCAAGTCCGCGCTTCATTCATAACTCATTACTCTAAATCTGCTCCTGTGACATAATTTTACAACATCCTTGTGGACTTCCCCTGGTACTCTCCACTGGAGCACCCAAGTAGTCAGAAAACATTCACTAATTTACTTGCACTCTCCTATGATGATGAGGGTTGTTATCTCCAGTTTCTGCTTTCATTCTTTAGCAGTATAGATGTCAAGATGGAAAATATCTGCTAAATTTGCATAAATGATTAGACACTTCGAGATCTGTGTTTAAGGGTGGTTTTTGTTTACTACTGTTACTAGTTTGAGAGAAGAACTTGCCACCTGAAGTACTAAATAACCCTGTTGATGTTGCCTTCGTAGCAGCACCAGGGAGGGATTTCTATACCCCTGACCAACTGGTGCAGACTGGCTTTCATCCTTGTACCACCTGCCCTAACTTCTACTGGGATCCATGTGCTGTCTCTGCAGCCACAAGAAATGATTACTACTTTTCTGTGGCTTTTCAGTTCAGAAGGACCAAAATGGTAAGATGTACGACGGATAAACATTTCATACGTATGCTAGCATGTGGAAGTGTTTGAGAGCTGGTACAGAGCTGGAAGACTGCACTAAGCAGAAGCAGTCCGTTTCAGTGTGGTACCCATTCACTTTTCTTGACTGGAGGCTTCAGGTGAACTACGCCACAGACAGGTTTGCTACTGAGGGAACTAGCTCGTTTGCTCCAAAGCGACCAAGGGAGTGAATCAGTACAAACGCAGCGTGAACAAGCAGGGAGCAGGACCTGACAGCAAAGCCAGGAGGGAGCCATGTGGATGCGCCACAGGATCAGAACGCAGCCCCCATGCATTTTCCACTGCAGACACCTGTGTTCTGTGCCAGGCTTTCCATTTGTAAACAGGAAACTCTTCAAATCCTGCACAGGCAACCTACCCACTCAAACCCTGTGCTATCCTTATTTCACAACAGAAAGCGTTTAGTGTCAGTGATTTTATTAGCATCATGAAGGAATTGTGTGGCAGGTAAGGCTCCAGGTCTGTTGAGAGTCAGTCACAAACCAAAATCACGACCCGGACACGCTCCCACCTGCAACCCGTATCTCAATCATTCCACCTCTTCCAACTTCTGTAACAAGTACAGGATGACTGTTAGATAAAACATTTCCTTCTTTACACAGTTCTGGTTCACTGTCAACACAGAATCCATCCCGTGCTCTGAATAAAAGGTTCCTCTGTACAAAATAGCATACAATCAAAACTATCTTGAACAGCATCAAACTGCCTGTACATGGGACAGAGAAAGGCAGAGTAATGGACCCATTTAAGCTTTTCTGTCCTGGAAAAGTGGAACAGGAATTGGTACTGCTGTGGGGTGGGGGAAAAAAAATAATCTTTAAAATGTCCAGCTATTCATACATTGTTTTCATTTCTGGACACACTGCCTAAGACTCAATCTAAATTTTACAGAAGATTTTTTAATCATCATTTACACTCTCTTTCTCATATCAGGCTGATAGAATTCATACATTCTTATTCATGTCCTGTAAGCAGAAACTTCACCCTCAGATGCATGTAATTAACCTCTGCAGCAATATAAAATGATCATATTAACAGAACTATTTTATGAACTTCGAAACAGATTAATATACTTTCACTTGTGTTAGTAACTGGTCTCATTGGCATAAAATTGGGAAAAGAACACTTTATTTCCCCAGACCTAGTCTGACTATTTATTCTGTTTGACTGATCTCCAAAACTTTCAAAGATCAACTTTTCGTATCAACCATGAAAGTACCATAATTCTAAAATCTCTTTTGGAAGATTTTGTTACAAGCACTTTATTTTCTGTGATGATTAAGCGGGGGCTTATTTCACGCCCTTTTTCCAAAGCCACACCAAAGGTAACTGCACGGTTTTAGTGGCATAAGCTTAATAAGTCAGGGAGCTAAAACATGTAAGAGACAGAATAAAATACCAAGTCTTGGCAAGGTGTGGACATCGTTTCCCCACAGAGCCCCATCGTTGTTCAGACCTGCTATTCACCTACAACCAGTTACACATAACAGGTATAAAGCACATATACTAGTCTGTAAGGCAGATAAAGGCAAAAGTCAGCTTCCGTTAGTTCTATTGATTTTCAGAGCAGGTCCTTCAGTAGTGAAAACATTAAAAAACCGAAACTATTTACATGCTAGATTCAAGTCAGTTGCCCCTCATAGCAACTTCAGTTAATGATCATACATTCATACATGCCATTGCTAGCTGATGCTGGTTCCTAATGAGCATAAACAGATGAGGTGGTAAGGCAGGGAAGGAAAGTGTAATACTTCTAAAAAGGGGAGAAAATCCCGCAGCTTACCTCATGAATGAGGGCTGTCAACGTCTGCTGGAAATTCCGTCCCCTGCTGGCCAGAAACCGACTAATAGGCTTGCCGTCTTTGCCCATGTGGACTGGAAGGTCGTAACAGAACAACATGCCAGCTTAAAGCAGGAGAGAAGAGGAAAAGAAAGGTCAATGACAATACTCACATTAATTGCTCACAAGTCTTGCATAGGTCAGTGGAGAACCCAGAGCAGAGCAAACTTAATAAAGCCAACAATTTAAAATCAGATGTAGAATCATAGACTCATAGAATGGTTTGGCTTGGAAGGGACCTCAAAGATCATCTAGTTCCAACCCCTCTGCCACAGGCAGGGACACCCTCCACTACACCAGGTTGCTCGAAGCCTCATCCAACCTGGCCTTGAACACTTCCAGGGATGGGGCAGCCACAGCTTCTCTAGGCAACCTGTTCCAGTGCTTCGCCACCCTCAGAGTGAAGAATTTCTTCCTTATATCCAATCTAAATCTCCCCTCTTTCAGTTTAAAGCCATTGCCCCTTGTCCTATCACTACATGCCCTTGGAAAAAGTCCCTCTCCAGCTTTCCTGTAGGCTCCTTTAAGTACTGGAAGGCTGCAATGAGATCACCCCGGAACCTTCTCTTCTCCAGGCTGAACAGCCCCAACTCTCTCAGCCTGTCTTCATAGCAGAGGTGCTCCAGCCCTCAGATCATCGTCATGGCCCTCCTCTGGACCCACTCCAGCAGCTCCATGTCCTTCTTGTGTTGGGGACTCCAGAGTTGAATGCAGTATTCCAGGTGGGAATAAGCACATGTAAGCACATGCAAGTGGTGTAAGACATTCCTGTTTCGTAAATGGATTCACTCTCAGATTCCCAGAAATCTTTGGGTCAAGGCACGTATACTTGTCTAACTTCAAGAAAGTGACAGCTTACCTGCAAGGCCTGGTGTCATGCCTGGTTGTTTGTTCCTCTCATACATTTTCAGCAAGAAGTTTGGAACACCTGCCATGGTCTTCCCCTGCTCTGAGCGTGTGGTCCCTCCCCTCAAGGCAGAATGATACACACCACGGGGCATGTTGGTCATCTCCTGCTTCACAAGTGACGCTGCAAACTCTTCAAATGCTGGATGAAGTCCAAGAAAATGAGGAGAGAGAAAAGGGAACGTCAGAGCCTGATGACTGAGAAACTCTGGAAAACCCAAAATGACACCTATGCTTCAGAGGAGGTATGCTTAACTAAACTAGTAATGACACATTCAGATGAAAGCTCAAGATCAAAGACTTGAGAACTCTCAGCAAGTCTCTGACACCATACTTGCTGTCACTGCAACTTCAAGAGGCTCTGAGTAACTCATATCACATACTAAGTGTCCTGGTTTTGACAGGGACAGAGTTAGTCTTCCTTTTTAGCAGCTAGAAAAGCTCTGTGTTTTGGTTTTAGTCTGGGATTTGCTATGAGAAGAATGCTGACAGTGCACTGATGTTTACAGTTGGCACTGAGACGCAAAGACCATTCAGTTTCCCGTGTTTTTGCCACTGTGCAGGAGCACAACAGGCTGGGGGAGCAGGGCCTGCAACTCCCCTTTTGATTTGAACTTCAACTTCGGATTGAGGGCTAAATTGGCCAATGGAGTATTCTATATCATGCAACGTCGTGCTCACTAGTTTGGGAAACTAGTGAAACGCAAAGTTTGGCACTCCTTTTGAGGGCTCTCTGGGACTCTTAAGAGTTCTAGCTCTCTCTCACTCTCTTTTCAGGTCTCTTACTTGTTCAGGATTGTGGTGTCAGGACTTAGCTGTTTCAGAATCATTTGCTGGGAAGGGACAGGCACTGATCACCAGGTGGTGTGCAATCACACAGTGCATCACTTGTTTGTATATATTAGTATCACTATACATACATAAATACCCATATATTATTATCATTATTACTTTTAATTCTATATTATTATTAAATTGTTCTTCTCTCAACCCATGAGTCTCTACCCTTTTCCGTGTTAATTCTGTTCCCCACTCCCTGGGGGCAGGGTAGGGTGAGTGAGCAGCTGTGTGGCATTTAGTTGCTGGTTGGGCTAAATCATGACACTAAGGCTTAAAAAACAAAAATCATAAAAATAGCCTTAACTTTTCCATGAGCTGTTGATTCATTTTTTGACTGTCACACCAGGAATACTGGCACATGCTGGCAGAAGGACAATGAGAAATAAAACTGATGTTTACCAACATAGTGAAAAATACTGTCTCTAAAAACAGGTTGTTTTTAAGGAGGTTTAACAGAAGCACAATGCAAAGAGGGTAGATGAAGAGCATGCATGTACATGGAAAAAAGGGATACAGAGAAAGAGACGTATTGCCTTGATTTCTGCTACCATGACAGTACAACTGTGCTCTCAAGCTATCCATTTAATATTCTAACCAAGTTCAAATTTATACGGAAATAATGCGAAGTTATTGTTCATTTGTGAAGTCAATCTGAAGTAGTCTTTACAGGCACGTCAGAAAAACAGGTCATGTTTCTGCATGTACCATGTACACCAGCACCTTGCAAACCTGACACCTTTAAAAGTTTGTCAGCACTTTTGTTACACAGCTGAGGTTTAAGGGGATTTATAACAACTGTTTCACACTAGGCTTGAAACTTCTGCATACAAGTTCCCAAGTCACATACAGTCCTGCTTTCACTAGGAACTAGAGGACAAAGGAGACAAAAGGGCACTCACTAATCCTTTCTGGGTCCAAGAAATACCTATAGCAGCTTGGAATAAAACAGTTTTATGCTGGAACTTCCTCACATTTCCGATTTTCAGGAAGTTCCCCTGATTTTCAGCAATGCTCTTTCCGGATTCAACTTCATAGTAGAGTAGCTAGTCTAAATCTGATAGGGTTTTGTAGCATGGCAGGAAGGGCACCTTCCTCTGCAGATTTTTTTTTTCTCCACCTGTAATGCCAATATTCTTCAAGCAAAAATCTCAGAATGCAGTTAGCAATTTTCACTACAGTGATTCAGAAGGAAACTATAAATCTTTGTCCCCAGTCCTCAACGCTGTATACTCTTCTACAAAAACTAAATTTGACATGAAATCAATACCCACCTACACCTGCTCTAGACTTTTACAAGAGCTTTTTTGATTAGGGTGGCTGCAGCAATAGAAAAGAAGTTCTCTGAAACAGAGGACAGCTCTTTCTCCGCTGGTAACCATCCACATTCACCGAGACATCCTAGCACAGGTAATACCACCGCTGTCATATTACTGCACTTGCCAGTTATGCCAAAGGACTTAATACTTACGAGCCATTCAGAAGCTATTTTTCAGGCAAGATATACAACCCAAGGATTGAGGCTGCCAGATACAACCCAAACTAGAAAATCTGAATAAATTTAAGGAAACACCTAGATGTGCAGCAAATGCTAGAATATCATATTTTAATGCTTGCAATGTCTGAAGGAAAAAAAAAGAGGTAGCTAACATCACAAGAAGAAAATTCTTAGCATCCTTCCTGCAGAGCTATACCTCTCAATAATAAGAATAAATAAATCGCTGTTGTTTTAAGTTTATAGCTTGTTATATGGGATTATTTTTAATTCTTTGACTACCAGGTTTCAGACAAGTCTCAGACACCCAGAACGAAAAACTATTAAAATTAAAAATAAAGCTGTCATACCCCTTTTGCTACCCTGTGGACTCTAATGCTTTGACACAATATGGAAACTGACATGACAAATCAGTTTTACAGGATTTCGAGAGAAAACAGTACATAAAACTTCACTTTCCAATGCTTCACATAAGCAGACAGCTATGGTGAACTGGAACTGCAGCATGTTCCAACCAAGTGCCTTAGAACGCATACTTTTTACTTTGTTTCCTAATTTTTCCTCAGCTCTGTTGCAGAAACAGGCCCTACAGATCTGTTTGCAAGCTTAGACATTTTTGTCCCACAGAGCTGGAAAAGGCACTTGGGAAAAAAACCCCACAATTCAATAGTAATGCCAGCACCAAGCCCACCTTGTGGTTGGAATCTTTTAACTGCAGCTGCCATAGTATTAAGTGTTCAACTCTTCAGGAAGAATCATGTGGAGGCTGAAAAAACCTAAAGATTTTCCTCCTCCTGCAAGGATTAAAGAGGGAGGAAAGAAAAAGAAGCAGCAATTCAGAGTTTAAGGAATCACCAAGGAAAAGCAAGAAGAATGGAGATCTCATGAGCAGCAAGCTAAATTTCCTTTAGAAGTTTCACTTGATTTGATGTGCACTAACAAGGACTTCGGGGGAAAGTCTGAGAAACAGAGACTGTCTTTTTAAAAAGCATCTCAGCCCTTCTCCTTCTAAGCAGTAAGGAAGCAATGAATTAATCTCAGTAATGTGTAACATCAGGATTCCAGTTTCATACTCTTTCAGTGGAGTAATTAACTCACAACAAGTACCCCTGCCAGTCACTAAAGCTTTTGCTCAAGTGTTCTGTATTCTGTGCTAACTAATAGTGTTAGAAGATGAAGAATCCTCTGAGGGAGAATCTATTCAGTGAATGTTTGGCTTGGAGAAGCTATTTGCATACACATTTCTATACCAGTTTGTGGTAGCTGCATCTTTGTATTCAGCCTGTTTTCTCTGAAGCCCACTTTGGTTTCCCATCTTCCTGGTAAGTTGTCTATCTCAGCATCCGTTGCTCAGCCTAAGTTTTCTGCCCAGATACATTGCTCTCTTCTGTTGAAGTAGGTTATGTCAGTCTTCTCCACAAAGCTCCCACGACTTACTAGTTAGCACATATATACTCTCTAGGTGAGGTTGCACATACTCCATACTCCAATGCATGCAGTATTTAATGAATAGATCTTTCTAGGAGACCCCACTGGGGGAAAATACTACAAAACACTACTCATATCTCATGGCAATGTTTACAGCTTGCAATCACACATCATGATCCCAGGCGTTCTACAAACGGTGAGACAGCAATGCCTGTGTCAGCACTAACATCACGATCTTGTAACTGGAAGTGAAAGATAGCACTAATGAGAACAATCAAATGAACATCAAAAATCCCAAATACTAAAGGTGATTCAACTGCACAGGTATCAAAAGAAGTGCATCAACCAGAGACCGTCTGTTGGAGCACACTTCAGTATCAAATGCCTCACTCAAATGAAGCATTAAGCATAGCACTAATATCTTTATTAAGTGGATTTTGTACACAGTATTGTTTTAATACTATTAATACTCTGTTTATAAAACACTATGGTTTTGAGTGTGTTTTTTTTTTAATTCAGTCCATGCTGGGCTAAAATATAGGGCTTCCTTTAAAAACGTCTGCTTAGTCCTCCCTATTGAAGTTGCACTGTGATGTACCAATGGGCATCCGAAGTAAATAATAAGCAACTGGCTTTTCCTATAGGATAGATAAGGATTTTTAAGTTACATTATAAGCACTGTTTTCACCATCAGGACCTCTGATCCACTGTCTTCCTAAAAATAGGCTAGGGGTTCTATTTTCCTCTGAACTTTTACTTTGCATTTTTTCCTGTAATTTGGTGAGATATTTTCCCGGAGGGAAAAAAAAAAAAAAGACTGCATTTTAACATAACACTCCATTATAAGAAAGCCACATGTTCATACAGTCACTGTGCTTATAAATCTGCAAATACTGAATATATTATACCTCCTAAAACAGGAGCTGGCGTTAGAGACAACAGTTTGATATATGAAGAACCCGGAACAAAAAGATCCACCTCCTTCTCCTCTTCATCTTCATTAATGTCTGCCTCCTCCAGGGAGTCAACTTCTGGTCGTGCCTGAAAGATTACAAAAAAAATGAAATGTCAGCATAAAACTTCCAAATCCTCATTACCTTTCATGATTCCAAGTATCAATAAAGTATCAAAAATACCAACTAAATATGAAAAGTTATCCATTTCATTAATTTCACTCTATTTGATTAATTTCAAGCTGAAGGAATAAAAGCTTTTTTTCTACCTCGGTGAAAGGCAGAACTGGTTGATAAAAATCACACAGGTACGTAAATCCATATCTGTAACAGTAAAATTAATCTTGACACTTATAAACTAAACTAATATTACTAATGCTTCATTTTCACTCTGTTTCTTCTTCTTAGAGTGAAATAATGTTTTATATTAGCACTTTAATATACACAGAGTATTTCTGTTAGATGTTGTTTTTCCATGTTAGCTTTCAGGATGTGAAAAACTGCAACATATTTACAATGCTTTCAATGAAAACATATTTATTCATTTTCTAACGAGTGTAAAGTAACAGCACCAATAATACTCAGCTATGTACTACCATGGAAGATGTAGTATTGCAGCACTGCTTAGAGATTCCCTCATTCTATCTTGTGCTATTCTTTGCAAAACATTTTTTCATTTGTAAGGTTTATGCTGAACGCTTCTCATCGATTTATATAAAGCAAGTTTGTTTTTTAATTTTAAATTTTCTTATTCTGATCTTTTCATAATAGCCAGTCACAACACATAAATGGAGCTACTCTTGTAATAATGCAGTAAATAAAAACTTATAGGAAAATTACTACACCATAAAGTAACAGTGCACCACTGATAATTGTCTAGTCTCTCTTACAAGGTTATTGTAAAAACCACCTTTCATGTAAATGACCTTATATGCTCATCTACTTGCACTCTTACAAAAAGAAAGGTTATTGAGTTGACTGATCAGACTTAAGTTTCAGATTTAACAGCCCTCTACAGACTTACAAAGCTTTCCAGTAAGCACCTCAATTCCTTTCTGTGTGCCTTTATCAATAAAAAAGCAAAATGTTACGCTGTAAAAGTTCAGAACAAACACACAGGAAAAGTTTTCAGCTTCATTTCAAAAATAGCATCTACTTTTCAAACTGACTTGCTTATTTCAGGAAGAAAGCACTAAGCATGAGTGTGACTGCAATGGATGAAGTAGTAATCACAAGAGCTGCTTAGTGTCAAGACAACTGCAAGCATTAACAGAAGTGCACAAAATGAACATCAGATGCCCAAAACATAACCTCCTGATTTAACTAATGAAAGAAGAAAAACTACCTTCTCACTGTTTAGACCTCACTCAGCCTCTGTTTGTGCCTTTCCCCTCTCATAAGTCTTTAGTTATGCTCATCATACATAATATTATCCCATTTCACCAGCAGGAGCTCATAATCCTTCTATGAGGCCCTGATGGTTGTCTGGTAGAGACAGCACAAGGCCCTGTTTCCCTTCCGAGAGGATACAACCCAGGTCAGATGGAAGTGTCAGATGTCCTTACTATTAAAGATAAAACATTGCTGCTACCTGTTCAGGAAGATGAAGAATTGTATGTTCTTCAGAGCCAAACGATGAGAGTGATTTGTAGGCTGAAATGGCTACAACAGCATCCTAGAAAATTAACAGGAAGAAACAGAAAATCACAAGCACAGCATATGGTGTTGCTACCTACTGGAAACTCTACATACAAAGAGCCTATCCACTAACCACTAAACGCTGAAAAAGGCTTTAAAGCATCAATGTTTTCCTGAGACACACTCTCAATTGCTTACTTTATAAATACAGTGCAAACTAGCAAGACCAATTATCCAGGCTTGATAGTGAACATTGATTGCTACGCTCCATTACGCCGTGAAGGTAGTTTCTGTAGAAATATCTGAGCTATATTTAAACTAAAATATTTCAGGTCGACCAGCCCCGTGGCTGCAATGGTGCAACACTCTCACTGTATTACAATAACCCACCCAAGAACTCAGTTAGTTGTCACAGCTGCAGCTTTGCCAAGAACGCTTCACCATGTTGAGGCTGAAATCTACCCGAGGAGTCTAACTAGATCGTGTTACAGTTCTCCTTAGCAGTGGCAGATGTTAGGACCATCAGTTACCACCTTTCATGTGCATTGCAATGCTCCAAAATCAGTGTTAAACCATCAATAACAAGAAGAAAACCCTATTAGAAAATGAGATTGCTGACACTGACAATCTTGTCTGGACAGGAAGGTATAACACTTAATACCCAGTTGCTGACAGCAGTTGTATCACCTACCTTGTTTTGTGTGTTGTTCCAAAGGAAGCTGATAACTTGAGCTTTGAATTTCTATAAAAGCAAACAAAACAGGCATTCAGATTTTCTTTTACTAAATAAGTATGCGAAACACAGGCAGTTACCTGAAACAAACTGCTGCCACATCAACATGCACTGAGCTAGGGAAGTGGAAGGGGAGCAGGCTTGTAGGCACATTCGCATGTCCTCACGTTCCGGGAGAGGGAAACCTCTGATCAGCCTTGCACTGGAATGTCTTGCCTATCTCTCAAGATCCACTAATGCAAGCTAAAATTGTGAAACTGTATGGAATTGTGCATTAAGATTACACTGAATTAGGCAGTGGGTGCAATTTAGAGATATTAAAAACAAGCAGGCATATTTAAAACTCGTATACAAAGATACACTAAAAGAAGAGACTCATCTTAGTCCATGAATACGTACCTCATATTCGTTTGTATTCACTGTTAATGAGGGAACCAAGGCAAACAATTCGTTCAGTGCTTTTAAAATGAGGGGTCTTGTATCACAGCTCAGCTTTGGTGACAGAGCATTCCATGTGGAACGGATGCAAACAACCTGGAGAGAAAGTGGAAGGCACCATTACTAACGGCAATGCCAACTTGCCTTAAATATTTCTTTCCAGCACTTTCCGTGGAAAAAGAAAAAAAAAACAAAACAAGCATGTTAAAAAAAATCACTTGCATGATGTCAATTAATATACTGTGAGACTATTAATACAGTAGTACTGCACAACACTTCACCAGATAAAGCAGCTAGCAGCAGGTATAAACATGACATTGTGAGCAACACACACAAAGCTGTAGATGTATCTTCATATAACACTTCTCATCTACTCGTCTTGTTCAAAAGAGCTTAAAAGCAAGGTGTCTCCGGGAGTTCGACAGGATGAAAGCAGAAGAAGCTATCCAGGAAGCTGAGTTCCCTGTGAGCCCTCCAAAACGAAATGCCCTTAATCTTTAAACACAACCAAATCCAACCAAATTTGTGAAAAGAAAAAAAAAAAAAAAAGAATGTAAAACAGCAAGAATCCAAAAATTGTCAGGAAAATGTCAAACTAAAAATAAACACTAATGCCATAGCTTCATTAGCCCTACATAAGAAGGTTAGTTCCTACTATTTACAGTGGGAGAAATCATTTCAACAAACCAGAAACATAAAAAAAAATAAATAATTCTGTCAGGAAACCACAGATGATAGTAACATCATCTGTCCTTCTACTCTGCTCTCGTGAGACCCCACCTGGAATACTGCATTCAGCTCTGGAGTCCCCAGCACAAGGAGGACATGGAGCTACTGGAGTGGGTCCAGAGGAGGGCCATGACGATGATCTGAGGGCTGGAGCACCTCTGCTATGAAGACAGGCTGAGAGAGTTGGAATTGTTCAGCCTGGAGAAGAGAAGGCTCCAGGGTGATCTTATAGCAGCTTTCCGGTACCTAAAGGGGGCCTACAGGAAAGCTGGAAAGGGACTTTTTACAAGGACATGTAGTGATAGGACAAGGGGCAATGGTTTTAAATTGAAAGAGGCGAGATTTAGATTAGATCTAAGGAAGAAATTTTTCACTCAGAGGGTGGTGAGGCTCTGGAACAGGTTGCCCAGAGAAGTTGTAGATGCCCCATCCCTGGAAATGTTCAAGGCCAGGCTGGATGAGGCTTTGAGCAACCTGGTATAGTGGAGGGTGTCCCTGCCCATGGCAAGAGGGTTGGAACTAGATGATCTTTGAGGTCCCTTCCAACCCAAACCAGTCTATGATTCTATGATCATGCTTCCAAGTGTTAACTTATGAAAACTGTGAAATTGATTTGAAAATCATAGAATTTATTTTTATTCTGTTAATAATGAATTTGGAGTCTTGTCATTTGCTTTCCAAGTCCTGATAACATAGAAATGTCAGTCTTTTAAAACTGCCTCTGCAGTTCTACTAGAAACCAGAAAGTTACTGTGCATTATATAGAACCTGAAATTACTTTAGATACGCTACTGCAATACCAGTTATTAGGTCCTTAAGAGATCCCAACAAAATATTGGCAGTGGCAGGTAAAGCCAGGAGTATCTGTAGGCTTCCATGCTACAAAGAATCCAGCATAAACGGGAAAAATCTTGCTTTTTCCGTGCGTTTTTTTGTGTGTGTGTGTGTGTTTGTTTGTGGGTTTTTTTTTGTTTGGTTTGTTTTTTTCTTTTTGTTGGTTTGGGTTTTTTTTACTGTGTTTGTTCGTTTCCCTCTCCCAACTCAGGAGACCAAAATTTCGTTATAGGACAAACATACCCTGAAAAGTGAAGTAACTTGTCAGTACGGATCATAAAATTAAACACTCAGAGCACCTTGCAGGTTATGGTTCTAAGGCTGGTATTTTTTCACAGATTGGAAATCACTGGGAAAAAACAACAAAAAAAATTGAAATCCTCCAACAAAAATGTAACTGCATAGAAAGAAGTCTATCCTGCTCTTCAGTTCCTATAAAAGGTAGGGAAATTGAAAGCTGAATAATTAAGAAATTTAATAGTACTAGATACATGTACCCTGGTGGCAAAAAGAATAGCAGAAGAGAATTATCATGCAGATCCAACATACACAGGGAAGCATTACAGCATGGTAAAAAGCATCAGCTCAATAGATCTGAATATTTTTTTAATTATGTACATCAATAGCCAAAATCCTCATGAGATTTTGTCAACTGTACAGAAAAAAAAGAAGGATGAGGGGGAAAAAAAAGCTCTACAGCTTGTTTCTCACAACTGAATGGTTTCTTTAGCACCAAACAACAAACCCTCTCCCCAGTCACATTTGGTGTTTGACAAGGAACAGCGAATCTCTTGGCTTTTTTTTTCCCTAGCCAACTGCAACTCAAGGGACTCACAGAGATCAGATGGAATAAAAACAAGAACGAAGCGCATTACAAAACATATTTATAGCAACCTCTGTATTATTACACTGTTGTTTCAGAGAAAACATGAAAATATTGGTTCTATTTCTCAAGTCAGTAGTTCCCTCTCATGGCAAGCTGTATAGAAAAACATTCTGGAGACATGCTTCACTTTTCAGACCTCAATTCAAGGAGGCACTTGACTGTCAGCCTAGCTCTAAATACATGAACAGTCTCACTGAAAATAAAACCACTTTTTGTGCTGAAGTTCATGATTACTTTAGCATTTTCTCAAACTATCTCTAATTCAAAGTCATGAGTCTCTGAAATTGTTAAGCAACCTGTCATCAAGGCACTTGAGATATTGTCCCTGGCAACTCAGTGCCATACATAATTAGTACAAAATTTTACAGTATACAGAGAAAAGACTAATCTCCTGGGTCATATGAAAGGACGAGGAAGCAGACACTGGAGTTCTATTTTGCTGAAGCTTTGGAAAAAAGTGGAGGCATTGACTTCTCCTAGATTAAAAAAAAAGGATTACTCACGGCAGAGTTGTACAGATTAATTGTTACAAAAGCATTTTGATTTCTTCAGACAGGTCCTCCTGAAGTAAAGTAACTACTGCTGTGCAGCAGTATCAGAGATGAAATGCGAACTTTTATTTTTATCTTTTTCCTAGTGTTGCAAGTCAGCACAGCACAAATATGGTAGGTTCAGAGGAATTTTTTGAAAGCTGTAAGCAATAACATGAAGAACAACAACAGTGTACAGGAAGATTCCAAGCTGAGCTGTGGCCTACTCTATATGTTCTTCTTCAAGTCTGAAAGTGATCCGAAAAATTTTAATCAGACTGGAAATTCTTCGGACTGTTTCTCACACCAATTCAGCAGCTTTTAGAAATCTATGATAACTTACAGAGTCAAAGCAAATGGCCTTTCTCACCTTCCAACCTGATGAAAAGTGTTCAACAAGTAAGAATCTCTCTGGTCCTTTTGGAAAGGTAAGGGAATCCAATGAAACGCTCACCTTCAACTTCAAATCCTTTCACAGCTAATACCCCTATTCCCATTATCCTCACCTCATTTCTCCTTCAGTAAGAAGAGAACAATTTACACTGCAAAATCAGCTCAAACAAGCAGTTTAAGTCATCTACCTGTCTGATAGTCAAATAAGCACCTTCACATTCATCCATGTACTCTTAGGTAAGATTTTGTCTTAAAAATTCAGTTATTTCACTATTTGCTTACTCTCTGCCATGAGACCTACAGTAACAGATAACTACTAGCTCAATGATGCACAAGATGTGTTTATGATGCACGTCACCCTTCTTGTACGCTCATGTGTTTGTATTCATCTTCTAGAACTCAGACTGAATACTAAGATCTCCAGTGAAAAGATCAGCTTTCGAGCTGCAGGTAGGGCACAATGATTTCAATAGCTGATTTCACCAGCTCCTGCAGTGATTCTTCGCTGAGCAAAATAGGGATATTGCATATGCCAGCTCCATATCCACTCCTTCCAGTGTAAGGCTTATTAATCTTGATCTCTTTTTTCTTTTATTTTGAACACCATTCATCTATGCTCTTTGTTTGGCATATCAAAATAATGTCAACATTTACCTCTAGGACTAATGCACATTTGATAGGAACAAGGAGTCGCCCATATATCAATAAGCCTGTGTTTCAGACCATCCACACGGTCAGAAAGACCTCACTGCATCAGGTCATATTGAGAACATTTGGGGTTAGGTCTTCAGGATGTCTCTAAGGGTTAGAAATGATGCTGCTGCCATCAGTGATGTCTTCTGTATTCTTCCTACCTTCTATAAAACCGAAAGACTACTAGGTCGTAACTACTATTTAGCTATTCACCACACTTAATCAATTTTGCATAGTGAAGAAAATAATGACTACACATTTACACTGTTAACTCTAACTACAGCACAGCAGCAACATAATTGATCCTACTTAGACCTTCCTGTATAAAAATAAGCCTCACCTGGTTTATTTTCACCTTTAAACATCTACATGACAGCTCAACGAGCAGTCAGTACAGCATTTTGCACTGCTAGGCACTGAAAAACATCTGTAAGATGCTCAGCCCGTGGTACAGTTCTAACTGAAGAACTATACAAAAGTCAAACAGAAGTAATCGAGTTCCAGAGGAACCTTGACTAGACAATAGTATTAGTACTAAAACATTCTATTTTTTTCTTATGATATTTTTTCCAGTTGCCCCAGCTCTCTCTGTAAGGAACCATGTATTTTAGTGAAAACTTGAGCAATTTCCCTGCAACATTTTGTCAAACCTCACATTGCTCCCTGTGGAGAACTTCACATTTCAGATTTCGCCACCAAACCTAAAATAATCCTGTCTGGAATTTTTCTGTTACTATCATTTGCTTTTCTGATTTCAGGCTCCACTGCAACAAAAAAAGGTGCAAAAGGAGAAAAAAAAACCCAAACCAAATCAAAAATTCTGCAAAAAACAAGTCCTCCCAACCCCAAAACCACAACAAAAAAAACAAAGAAAGAAAAATACAAACCCATAACAATGCAGGCTTAGAACGAACATCTAGAGGAAAAAGAAAAAAATAGCTTCGATACAACAAGGTATGAGGATATAGACTCAGTATCTTAAAGGGAAAACGTACTAGAACTGCAAATCAAAACCATTCTCTAAACTATCT